TCCTTTAAAAAATAATATATATATTTGAAATTAATAAGGTAATGAATTTTACAAATATGATTATAATTCTATCATAAATTTACCTTTAATGATATTAATGAAATACCCAATTGATTGGAACTAAGAATGGTTTCAAAAACATCTTTAACACCTTCTTGCGATTCTTGATCTAGACAATCAAGTAATGTTTTTAAAATAGTTAAAGCTTCATCCTTGTCTTTAACCAAATATATATTCTTGATAAGCTTGTTCTCAATATTTTTATTGTTATTTCTTTCTTTAAAGGCGTTCAGATTAGGTTTTAAAAATAAGTCATAATGGAGTCGTGATGGTTCTAATTCATTAAAAAAAAACCCCCCGGCTTAATTAATTATGTTTTGTTAATTCATTCTAATTTTGAACAAATACAAACCAATTTTTCTACTTCTATGATCTGGGATAACACATTTTGTAAACAAAGTGTCATTTGGATTGGCTGGTGATAGGATAAGCTATATATATATACATACATACATATATAGATTTTCAAAAAAATATTTTTAATCATAATAAAAATTCAAAATATTATATTATTGATTACCTTGTGTGAAGATAACAAATCCAATATACATGCCATTGTACCACTATTTGAAAATCTTTCAAATAGAATAACATCATTGAATTTTCTATAGAAATCAATGGCTTGAGAAAAAAATCTATCCGGCAATGAACCAGAGATCACTGACAAAAACCTGTGTATAATTAAAAAAAAAATAATTATTATTATCATGTATGAATATAATATACATATTGTATACCTTGAAGAAAAAGTTTATAACTTACTTGTCAGAAACATGATATCCTCTTCCAGGCACTCTTCTATCATTTCCTGCTTTTACTCTAACAATTACACCCGTATCTTTAATCAATTCAAGAGACTCGGTTACAAGCACTTCTGGATAATAGTTTAGAATGGAGAAAGCATGTGAAGAATCATATTGATCTTCTGGTGTCATAAGAATGATCTACAATAATAATAAAGTAAAAGTATTATAAAATGGACTCAAAAAAACTCGTGTGTTTTTTAATTTTCTCATTACCTTAATTAATGCTTGAATTGCCTCTAATTTAATATCTTTCTCTGTAAGATTTTCAATATTAAAATAGTCTACGCTGTTTTGATTATTAAATCGGCATGTAAAAGAATGAGAATATAGAATGCTCATTTTTTTTCTTAATGAGGACCCCGAAAGTTTATCCTCGTAATATATATCCTGATTATGAGTTGGTGATGAATATAAAATTACGAAATGCTTATATAAAGTTTGGATATCAGAAGGCAATAAAATTATTGGAATTGGTTCATCATTTCTTTAAGAATATCATTAGAAACAATAATTAGAAATTAATATAAATAAAATTATCATTCGAATATTGAAATATGAAATCTAACCTTGACAAATTTTGTAATGCTTTTATGAAATAATCTACTTGTTCTGGAAGATCAAACTCTATCATTTCAGAATGATGCGGATCAATAATTTCCCCTTTCTTCACGCCCTCTTTATATATTTTTTCCCATCTACTCATCAAATAATTTATATATTCAACAGTAGCTGCATTTCTCATTAAAACATTTACTCTACGGCGACACATCTCGTTGGTTTTCTCTGGAAATAATTTTAATACTGCTCCCCATAAGAATCTAAATTTTTGTGATCGAATTTTAAGAATGACATAAGCGTAAAGAAGAATTTCATCTTCCTGAGTAGACCAGACAGGACGTCGTTGTGAGTTATTTTCATCTTTGGTAATAAATCCAAAAATATTTTTTTATCAGTATTCGAGTTTTTTTATTTGTATATACATGTGTATATATATATATATATATTTTATATAAAAGAAAATTTAAATTACCTTCATCAGCAATAGTGGCCGAACCTTGTTCCTCATTATAATCTTGTTTATCTTGATGTTTCTTTTTTTTGGTTTTATCATATTGAAAGACATCTTTATTTTCACCAAGATTTTGATAATCATTTGTCGATTTTTTTAGTCCAGACTTATTATTACCATTTGTTACTTTCCTTTTTCTTCTGAAGGTCGGTTCACCATTTGCTGATGCAATAATACCAACATAATTCTTGGATCTTGCGGCAACTTTGTTTCTTCTTTCTCTTTGTTTTGCTGCCTTGGCTTCTTTGTTTTTCTTTTCAAAGCTTTCATCAATTCTTCTAAAATATGCTTTTACTCTTTGAAATGGAAGGCTAGACTCTTGTGCAATTTGACGACACAAAACGTCATCTTCAAATGGTGTTTTAGACTTTTTACTATCAACATAATGATCAAGGTGTTTCTTTTGTCTAGCTGTCAATGGATAACCAGAATTCCAATTACAAGATGAAGTAATAAATCTCAAAGGATCAGGTTCTAGATTTTGAGAGGATGCTTTGCCTTTCTTTTGTACATTTTTTTCAGAAGCTTCTTGACCCGCATCCTCAGTTTCACTAATATCTTCCTCTTCATCACTTTTATTTGCTGCTACTTCTGCTATTTTTTGTTGAGCGACATATTGCAATTCGCTCCAATAAATTGAAACATCTTCTATCGTGTCTAGCGGATAATTTCGTATGATAGGTCTATTAACGCCAGGAATGGAAAAATCGATCATCGGGACATTATAAATGAGTTGATAGGCTGGTGCCAACAATGTTTGCGGTGGACTACATATTGTTGCATTTGACAATGACCATTCTATTGACTCATTATTGCTAACATCTAAAATTGAATTACCATTTTCATCAAAGTCTCGACGAATTGGTTTAAGAATTTTCAAAGCTACCAAAATATCAATCAATCTCTTTAAACTTTGTCGAAATTTATAATTTCCTGAAAAGATTGATGAACGGATTTCATTAGGCAAGTCAATAATACTCACAGACATGCTCTGGCCAGAACAAACATATTCGGTCAATGGTTCGCTGGGAATTGTTTGACCTATAATCTTCAAATATATGTCTAATGGCATATCACGAAGTAAAATTATGGTTTGAAATGTTCTATTGATTTTATTAATGCATGTGTTATTAGGTGATTCATCATTGAATTTAGAAATTAGGTATTGATGTAAAATTTTGGCACGAATCATCTTGGCGTTGATCCAACCATAATTTCGTGCAGTATGAAGCCACCACATCTCATTGGATTGAGCTATATTGTTATCATTATTGTTATTGTTGTTATCACTGTTAATTAAAAGTTGATGATCATCTTTATTAGCAGCTGCAGCTTCAGTTGCAAAACGTTTTTGCATCTCTGATAATGGCTCTACTTCAAGATTCATATCCTCAATCCTAGTTGGCTTGCATGATTTTCCTATAAGTATTGCTTTATCTTTTAGTCTTGCGACATATTCTTTTACTTGAGGACTTGAGGATGTCATGCTTGGATGAAGAAATAACAATTTATTTTGAGAATTTCCATTCAATAAGGGTAATGACACATTATATAGTTTTAGAAGTCCTTTTGCTTCCATTGCATTACCAGTTCTAGCCAAAGTTTTTTTGTCAATTACGTGCATAGATGTTACATTACCGCTTTCTTTTGTTAAAGCTTGTTGATAAGTTTTCACAAGATCTGCACTACATTCCATTACCTTGTGTTCCTCCAAGAGTTGGGTCAATATCTTTTGCCGTAATGATATCGTAATAGATGTAGTAAAGTAAATTTTTTTTTTTGCTGATAATTGAATTTGTGCATCATTCGATGAAGTATTTTCAGTATTATCATTAATATTATTACTAGTAGGAGATGTTGTTGTTGTTGTTGTTGTTGTTGTTGTTGTTGGTGTTGATGTTGATGTTGATGTTGATGTTGATGTTGATGTTGATGTTGATGTTGATGTTGATGTTGATGTTGATGTTGATGTTGATGTTGATGTTGATGTTGATGTTG